AGGGATCTCAAGGCTGGCCTCCGTGTCTGTCCCCTCTTGGGACGATGGGTAACGCTGGGAGGGTTTGGGAGTCTGGGGCAGAGTCCCACCGCTTCCCTGGACAGGACGAGGACTGGGGCAGAGGAGCCCCTGTCTGCAGGCACCGCCAGCATCCTGCGAGCCTGTCCCGGTGCAGCGCTGGGACGGTGATGAGTGCCGGTGGCTGAGCCGCCATCGCGGTGGAGAACAGCAGGGACAGCCCTCCGGGAGAGCTGCTGTGCCCGGGGAGCTGCCCCCGGAACCCCCTTCCTGCTCCTTCCCTGCTGCAGGCAGAGTCTGGGCCACAAAGGGTTACGCAAGGCACCCTGGAGTGACACCACTGCCACCAGCCCGGGCGCTCCGCTCCTTCCTGGTCGGATCCCAGGCTCGGTGAGTGCCTCATTCTGTCCCCCGGGATCTGTCAGCCCTCCTTTCTGGCTTTCAGCTATGCTTTCACCTGGGGAACTGGCCGTGCTTTGTCCCTCCCTGGCTGGCTGCAGGACGCAGTGACCCTCGTGGAGCTGTGCCCCACAGCACGGAGACACCCCGAGGGTCGGAGCTCCCCGCCCCAGGGCTGCAGGACGTGCCGCTCTGCTGCCGGCTTACCTTCGGTCCGGGGCAGCCCTTCCAGAGACCTTTCCCAGGGCAAGGGGTCGGGATCAGCGCTTTGGGTGGGCTTGGGACAGCACAGCCCCTGGGGGATCCAGACCTCGGTGCTGCATGGCCAGGACCTGACAAGGGACGAGGGGTTTTGCAGCACTGGCTGAGAGCAGGTACCTCGCTGGTCCCAGGAAGGCTTTGAGGTTCCCAGGATGAGGAGCTCTGTCAGGGGAGGGGGTTAGGAAACATTTTGGGTGGTGGGGCTGGCTGTGTGCACGGCTGGGGCGGGCTGCGTGTGTCACTTTCCGATAAAGGACCCCCGACTCGTGGCTGTCCCCATGGCGGGCGGTGTCACCTGGGGCCTGACACAGCCCCGAACCGGGCACCTGGCCGTGGGCTGAGCTGCCCCAGCACAGCTTGGCTTTGTTTGGTGCCACGGTCCGTGTGTGGGGCGGTGTGGGGCTGCCGGTGTCCGGTGCTGGGTGTGTCGCGGTCAGCTCTGCCCAGATACTGCCTCTCCCTGCGGGGCCATTCCAGCTGCGCGCTGGTTTCTGTCGCAAACCGGCTCAGCCGGCTCCTCCTGCTGCCAGCCTCGGCCTTGGGCAGGTGCAGGCCCCGCGCCAGGTCTTGGGGGGAGACTGGGGACAGGGACAGGGCTTGGTGGCACCGTAGGCACGATGCCCGTGCCGCTGGAGCTGCTGCCATCCCCTTGCTGCTCCAGGCACTGCCTGGAGAGCAACGGACACCAGGGTGGTGGGACAGTAGTGGGAGCCAGGTGGGGACAGTGAGGGGCTGTATTGGGGGGCTCTAGCTCAGCAGATGTCACCACTCTAGGGAGAGGGATGATCTGGCTGCTCCAGGTTGGTCTCTCTTGGCCCTATATTTCCCACCGTGTGACCTGTAGGTGTCCAGGGAGCACAAACAGCACTGGTGACACAGCTGAAACCACCCCAGTGCCACTCTGGGAGTTCCTGCTCATTATCAGCTTTCCCAGTGCCAGGACAGCGGGTGCTGCCACCCTGGGGTCCTGCCCAGCCCCAGCTGCCCCCGGTCCCGCGTGTCCCTGGGTGGCAGGGTGGCGCTCGGGCTGGTTTCGGCAGCTGGTGACGCACAGGGGACTCTGCCCTCCCCGCCCGTGGCTGCAGCATTCACCTGCCTGTCGGGTGAATGATTACCCCAGGCCTCCCCCAGCCCTCCCTGCGCTGCACTGGGCTGGGGCTCGTTTCAGGCTGGTCTCATTTGGGGGGCTGCCCATGGGATGTCCTGGTGCCAGGCTGTGCTGCCCACTGCCACACCCCTGCTGTGGCACCACCCTGGCATTGCCCACGAGGTGTCTCTGTCCCACCAAAGCTGCCCCGTGGCCAATTCCCAAAGGGCTTGTGGAGGTTTTGAGCTCCCTGTGGCACCAATGTGGGCATCCCTGGCAGGGCTGAGGTGTGCTGGGGGCTGTTGGGAATGAGCACAGGCACTCCAGAGCCCTCAGACACCACAGCTGTGTGGTGCCATGGGAACTGAGGGTGTGCAGTTTGGAGAAGGGTGCTCAGGGGACCTCACTGCTCTCCCAAAGGAGATTGTAGTGAGGTGGGCATCAGCCTCTTCTGCCAAGTGTCAGGACCAGAGGAAATGGCCTCAAACTGCACCAATGGAGGTTCAGATTAGATACTAGACAATTTTTTTTTCACTGAAAGAGTGGTCAGGCAATGGAATAAGTTGTCCAGAGAGGTGCTGGTGTCATCATCTCTGGAAGCATTCAGGAGGCATCTGGATGGGGCACTTGGGGACATGGTTTAGGGGAGATTATGGTGGTGTGGAGTGACAGCTGGATTTGATGATCTTGAAGGCCTCTTCCTACTTCATGATTGTGTGAGGCCCTGAACAAAGTGGCCTGTCCCTGTCCCACCCCATGGGAGCTGGTGGGAGGCTCTGGTCGTGCTGTCTCCCACCATGTCTCTCTGGGTTCATGCTGACATTACCTACAGGGAACCAGAAGCTGGTGGAGATCCCTGGGCCCATCCCAGAAGTTTCAGCCTCAAAGGGACATTATTCTGTCAGTCAGGCTTGTTTGCCTCAGGTGGAAAACATTGGATTTGGGGAAAACCCAGAGAAATGAAATGGTGAAACTGGGGCAGTGGTGCTACCAAACCAGCTGGCAGAGCTGCCGAAGCCCAGAGTGGGTGGACAGGCACTAAAAAACACCACCCAGAGCAGCACCCCAAGGCCTGGCAGCTCCAGGAGGACAGAGGATGGCATGGACAGGGTCCCAGCCATGGAGATGAGTCCTGTGCTTGCCCTGTGTAAAACCCCCTTTGCATGGACCTGTGTCTGAGGGGATGGAGATGGATCCCCAGGGGTGACGTCGTGGTGCACAGGCAGCTCTGGGTTCAGCAGGGTTAGCTGGGCTGTGCCACAGCTGCCAGTCCCTGTGTCCTGGCACCCTGGAGCTCTGTCCCCTGCAGCCTCACAGTCCCTGTGCTCATGGCTCAGCTTTGCTGCTGCTCTGTGTTGCAGCCGGATGTTGGGTTGAGGAAGGGGCCGGCGGCTGCGAAGAGGAGCCGGAGCCACTCAGAGCCCCCCGGCCGTGCGGCTGCCACCGAGCCCCTGCCCAGCCTGAGCTGGTGGGTGCCCAGCATGGAGGAGATGGTGATCTGGGAGCAGCACACGGTGACACTGAGCAAGGTCAGTCTCTCTCCTGTGGGAGGGATGGGGTCTGTGGGGTCAACTCTGCCTGACCCTTCTGCTCACCCCCACCAGGACCCTCACCGGGGCTTTGGATTTGCTGTCTCCGGAGGCCGTGACCGTCCCAACAGGACAACCGGGGACACAGCGGTGTTTGTTTCAGATGTGGTGTCTGGGGGACCAGCAATGGGTCAGCTCCAGTGAGTGCACAGGGACATGGGGCCGGGGGGGTCACTGCCAGCAAGGGTGGGAGGGATGGAGAATCGCTCCTGCTGGGACAGGGCCAGCACCACTGTTGCCCTGCCTGGCTGGAATGGGAACCCTTGGGGTACGCTCACACCCCACCAGCTCCCTGGGCTGGGAGCTGTGCCTGGGACAGCATCTCAGCTGCATTTTCCCTCCCAGGAAGAAGGATCACATCGTGATGGTGAATGGCATTTCCATGGAGAACGTCCCGTCCTCTGTTGCCATCCAGACACTTAAAACCTGTGGCAAGATCGCCAACATTGTGAGTGTGCTCTGTGGTGGGATGGGGGCTGGCATCACGCTCATGCTGGTGCCTGTCCCCATCCCAGATCCCCTGTCCACATATGCCCGAGGTTTGGGGCTTGGGAATTGCTGCAGGGACATCTCCTGGCAGACACAGCTGTACCATCATCCTCCTCTGCTCACTGTGCACCTGCAGACACTGAAAAGGCCGAAGAAGATTCAGCTCCCTGTGAGCAAGAGCAGCCCTGGGTCCCCTGCCGTGGCCCGGCACTACGACTCAGACGAGGAGTACCGGCTGCAGCGCTCCCGGGATGACCTGGACCACAGCCAGGGCTACGACGGGGACTCGTCCAGCGAGAGGAGCTCTGGTCACCCGCACGACGAGCGCAGGCAGCACCGGCTGGTGGCACGGAGCCGCAGGCGGAGCCAGGACAGCAGCCACCGCCTGCACGGCAGCTCAGATCGGAGAGGCCAGGGCAGACACTGCTCCTTTGGCCAGGACGGGGACACCAACGGGCTGGCCCTGGTGTCGGGTTTCAAGCGGCTGCCGTGCCAGGACGTGCCAATGAAGCCCATCACCTCGGTCCTGGTGAAGCAGAAGCAGAATGAGGGTGAGGCCCTCCTGCTCCTGCTGCCTCTGGCTCTTGTTGCCTGATTTCCGGCCATGCCTTCCCCCAGGGAGGGGATGAAGGCTGGGTGGGTGCCAGGGCCTGGCTGCAGCAAGGGGACAGTGCATGCCATGCTGGGTGCACTAAACCTCCTCCCCTCAGCTGGGGGCTACAGAGCTCAGCTTTGGCTTGCCAGTACCCCAAGGGGAGCTGGGGCTTGTGGGGGGATCTTGCATCTGCCTGACTCTACCATCATGGCTCTCTCTGCTGCAGAGTATGGCCTGAAGCTGGGGAGTCAGCTTTTCATCAAGCACATCGTGGAGAGCGGGCTGGCGGCCAAGGGCAACTCCTTGCAGGAGGGAGACCTCATCCTGAAGGTATGGGGGCCCCAGGGTGCAGGGCACTCACTGGGAGTCTCATCTGTCCCTCTTTGGAGGGGTCGTCCCTGGCTGGTGTCACTGCCAGGGCCCAGCCACGGCCATGCTGGAGGCAGTTCTGCCTGTGCCACCCCGGCTGTCCCAGGGAGCAGCTCCCTGCTGCCAGGGCTGGTGGCATGTCCTGCTGGCACACTGGGGTCATGTCCACCCCACTGTCCCCACGGGGTGTGGTCCCCCACTGTGTGTCCATGTCCCCACTGGATGACAGTCACAGGTGTTTGTCAGATAAAACAATGCTTAAAGTATTTGGGGAGGAGGAAATAGAAGGGAGGGAGGGAGACCCTTTGTTTGCACAGCCGGTCCAGGCAGACCCGTGGCTGCTGGGACCTGGTGCTAAAGTGACTCTGGGGTAAACAGAAGGGATTGCATCCCACAGTCTGTTGGGAAAAGCAGCTACTGCTCAGGGAGATCTCAGCCCCAGAGCCTGCTTGGGGCCTGACTCCCTGCATCAGGCCTGGGCATGGAAGGACAGTGCTGGGCCCAGGGCAAAGGAAAACTGAGGTTCAGGTGTCTGAGGGGTCCTGCAATCCTGCCTGCGGGCATAGCCCCAGGCAGGTGGAAGTGGGTGTTAACAAAGCATGCTAATGGTTTAATGGTTTCCTCTGTACAAAGTGAGGTCACACTGGGAAGCAGCCAGGAACAGGGACAGAACAGGTGAAGCTGCAGGAGCTGGGGCCGGCCTGGAGGAGCTGGGAAGGGAGCAGGAAGATGGCAATCAGAGTATCCCATCCCCGTGGGGTGTTCCTGGGGGTGACTTTCCCAGGAGCAGGTGCCCTGAGGCCTCCCACTCTGCCCCTCCAGATCAATGGGGTAGCCAGCCAGGACATGTCCTTGGCTGAAACCCAGCAGCTCATTGAGCAGACAGAGGGGATCCTGACCCTGCTCATCCTCCGTGACCACCGGCAGTTCCTGGTCAACATCCCCGACGTTGACAGCCAGAGTGGCAGCTCCCAGATGGACGGTGAGGGGACGGTGCTGGGGCCAGGGTCAGTCACACAGCACGGGGGCTGCATGGCCACTGATATCTCCCTTCCTGTGCCCGCAGATATCTCAGACATCGACTCTGAGCTGTCCCATCCACCATCTCCAGAGGCCTCCCCACGATCTCCAGCTGCTGCCAGGACAAAATCACCGTAAGGCCCACACTGTCCCCATGAGCCCCTCTGTCCCCTGGCAGATCCTTCTGTGTTCTCCACCTGTCTGGGGATGCTGGTTCTCCATTCCTAAGCCAGTATCCCTGAAGGTGGTACTGCCATGCCCAGCTTGCTCTGCTCTCTCCACTGTCCTGCCTAAATCCTGCTCAACCTTGTTCCAGGGAGAGGGGACGATCGAGCAGGGAGCCTGTGGCCAAGGTGGCTGTAGCTGATGCTCAGGGCCCAGGTGAGTGGGCACTGGGGGGGCTCCAGGCTCCTGTGCATTTCCACTGCCCAAAGCCCCATGGAGCTATGCCAGGGCTCCCTGTGCCTCGGCACAGCCACTGCTGCTCCTAGACCAGCTCTCCTTCCTGCAGACCTTCTGGAAGCCATGGAGCAGGATGGGCACAGCCCCCTCACCAGCCTCACTGCCCGAGCTGCCCACAAGGATGGGTATGTCTGCAAGAGGCAGGGGAATGGCTGGGGCACATGATGAGCTGCTGTCCTGTCCTTGCATGTCACCACGGGGCTGACTGTCCTTCCCTGTGGCAGGTACAGCACCAACGCCAGGGTTGTGCAGTTTGTGAAGGCCAAGAGTGTGGGGCTGCGGCTGACAGGTGGCAATGATGTGGGAATCTTCGTGTCCAGCGTGCAGGAGGGGAGCCTGGCTGACATCCAGGGGGTTCAGGAAGGTGACCAGATCCTCCAGGTACCCGAGGCTGAAAATGCTCCATATGCTGCTGCATCTGGACTGGCCCCAGCACTTTTGGGTGCAATATCTCCCCAGGGTATCACCTCCAGGGTGACAAGGATCACTTCCCTCTCCCACTCTGTCCTGGGCACTGCTGTTCCTGGGTCCTCTGCTGCTGCCCATGCCCTCTGTCCTGCTGGCAGGACCATGTCCAAGTGCTTTTCTGTGGCAGGTGAATGACACCAGTTTCCAGAACATGACCCGTGAGGAGGCTGTGGAATATCTCATGGCCCTGCCCCCAGGCGAGGAGGTCACGCTGTGGATCCAGAGCAAGCAGGACAGTGAGTGGTGACCAGGCTCATCCTGGGCTCGGGCCTCTCCATCCTCTGTCTATTCTGGGCAAGCATCAGACCTGCTGGACTTGCCATGGCCCTTCCTGTCCCTTCAGGGTGGTCCTTCTTCCCCTCCTCCTCCTCCAGAGTGCTGATGGGAGGGGACCAGACCATCCCAGCTCTGTGCCTTGGCTTCCTGGAGCACAGGGGCTTTCTGGGACCATGGCTCAGCCTGGAGAGGCCAGCATGTGCTGGCGAGTCAGATCCTACTGTCCCCAGCATGCCTGAGAGTGCCATGGGAGGAAAAAGCATCCCCAATACCCTCCTTAGCAGCAAGGGCTCCTGTGGAGCCTCCCAGCCAGCCTAGTGCCTTCCCAAATCTCTCCAGCATCTTCTTCCTCAGCCATCTCCTCCCCTGATGGTCCCTCTTGCCCTGGGCTTCAGTTTACAGGAAGATGGTCTCGTCCAACGTTGGTGACTCGTTCTACATCCGGACACACTTTGACTTTGAGAAGGACACGCCGTCAGGGCTCAGCTTTGTCCGTGGGGACGTGTTCCACGTGCTGGACACCATGTACCGGGGCAAGCTGGGCAGCTGGCTGGCTGTGCGCATGGGCAGGGACCTGCAGGAGCAGGAGAAGGGCATCATCCCCAACCGGAGTAGGTAGGGATGGAGCCACGAACAGCCCCTGGACAAGCAAAGCCAGAGAAGGCTCCCAAGTGAGCCGGGGACAGGGATGGTGGGCTCAGTGAGAGGCAGGGCTGGTGGGACAGTGGTGGGAAGCGGGAGCTGGTGAAATCCCTGCTCAGAGTGGTGAGGCAGCTGACTGTCAAGTTGTCCAAAGTCCCAGAGAGAGAAGTCTAGCATGGCCTCACCTGGCTGTGCCACCGAGCAAGGGTGCCAGCTTCTCCTGAGCTGCTCCTCAAACCCAGAGGCTGCAGGTCCTGAGCCCTCTCCTCTCCCAGGGCAGAGCAGATTGCCAGCCTGGAGTCGGTGCTGAAAGCCACGTCTGGAGCCAACCCCTCCGGGGCAAGGGCTGAGTTCTGGAAGCTGCGGGGCTTGCGGGGAGCCAAGAAGATGCTGCGCAAGAGCCGGGAGGACCTGTCTGCCATCACAAAGCAGGGGCGCTACCCACCCTATGAGAGGGTGGTCCTCAAGGAAGGTGGGCACCAGGGCAGCCTGACCTGCCTTGGGGACACGGCTCCTGGGGCTGCCCTGCTGTGGCTGCTGATGGGCCCTCCTGTCCTGGGAGGAGCAGGGCGAGGTGCAGGCCTGTGGGCACCACGAGGAGCGGGGCTGGGTGCTTGAGTGCTTGAGTGCTGGGAGCTCTGCCCTTGCCCCAGCCCCCCTGAGCACCTGTGTCCTCCCACAGCCAGCTTCAAGCGGCCCGTGGTGATCCTGGGCCCCATTGCAGACATCGCTGTGCAGAAGCTGAGCAGGGAGCTGCCCGACCTCTTTGAAATTGCCCGTAAGTGCCCCCAGGCTGGGGAGAAAATGACACCCAGCAGCCAGACCCTGTGAGAGTTCCTTACCTTGGCTCCCTCCCTATGACACCCCAACACCTTCCTGGCCTAATTCACCCTTTCCCCTCCTCTCCCTGAGGAACACAGACCCAGGCTGGGCATGGCCATGCCCAGCCCGGGGCTGTGGGAGGTGCAGCCCCTCTCATGCCCCATCTCTGTGTCCTGCAGCGAGTGTGCCCCGAGATGGGGCATCGTCCAAGGTCATCAAGCTGGACTCGGTGCGGCAGATCGCAGAAAAGGTGAGACCGTTCCCACGTCCTTGGAGCCAGCTGGGGCCTGTGGCAAACCCATGGCCCTCATCCCTGCTCCCAGCAGGGCTGATGGCTGTGCCCTGCCCCAGAATAAGCACGCCCTGCTGGACATCACACCCTCGGCTGTAGAGCGCCTCAATTACGTGCAGTACTACCCCGTGGTGGTGTTCTGCGAGCCTGAGAGCCGCCAGGGCATCAAGGCCATGCGGCAGTGGCTGGCACCCGACTCCAGGAAGAGCTCCCGGCGCCTCTATGCCCAGGCCAACAAGATGAAGAAGTACTGCAGCCACCTCTTCACGGCCACCATCAGCCTCAGTGGCAGCGGCAATGCATGGTACGAGCAGATCCAGGACATCGTAAGGACACAGCAAAGCCAGCCAGTCTGGACAACAGCAGAGCAGGTACAGGGCATGGGCTCTCTGGCAAGACTGGGCCTCCTAGGGCTGCACATGGCCCCCCAAAGCTGAGGTCCCATGTCTCTGTTATCCCCACCCCTCAGGCAGATGTGGCCACCGAGGACAGTCTGGACCTGCTGAACCCACCAAGCAGAGTGCCCTCAGGCTACCTGACGTGTGACAGCCGAGCCAACAGCGACTACGATGACACCACGGATGGGGAGGCGGGCGCCTACACAGACGGCGAGGCAGAGGAGGCCTACGACCAGCCTGGGCTGGCCCGTTCCTCTGAGCCAGCACAGCTGGCCCCGAGCCACAGCCAGAGTGAGCAGGTGGGTTGTCCTGGACTGGTACAAGAGCCTGGTGGGGCAGAGGAGGGTGGCACAGTGCCCAGCTCTGGAGCATGACTCCCATTCTCATGGCACAGGCAGGGTGTCACCTCTGGCTGCTGCAGGGTCCAGCTGTGTGTCTGTGCCCAGCTCTGGGTGGCCAGGGGCAAAAGCCCCAGGCTGGGGCACAGCCCCTGTCCTGCCCCTGACCTCTCCCACCTCTTCTTCCCCAGGTGCCCAAACGGCCACGGCAGGGCAGGAGCTATGACAGCATCAGGTACCCTGTGCCCCGGGGTGGGGATGGCAGCTGCCCAGGGCTGGGGACAGTCCCAGCAGGGCCCTGTCCCTGTCACACAGAGCCATCAGCACCCTTCTGTTCCCCAGGGAATACGAGCACGAGGCGGTGAGGAGGAGGTTCACACGGGCCAGGGATGACTCAGACCAGGATGAAGGCTACGAGTGGGGCCCAGCCACAGATGTGTAGTGGCACAGCTGGCCTCTCCCTCCAGGCCAGCCCTCCTGCAGCCCTGCACAGCTGGGTGCAGCTGAGAGCTCAGGTGGTGCCCCAGTGGCCAGGCTGGGCTGGGCCCAATCCTGCTATACCCTGCATCACCAAGTGCCTGCACTACCACGTGCCTCCTTCCCTTTTGGCCACAGCCACTGCTACTGGAATAAAAGGGATGTTTGGATGAGGATGGGCTGGTTTAGGGAGTGCTGGGTGGCAGCATTCAGGGGACACTGTGTAGCAGGGTTGTTCTGCTGGGATCCAAGCACCTCCCTGGCCAGTGGCCCTGTGTACAATGAGGCAGCACAGGGGCACCTGGGGCCTGGCACCAGGGCAGGCCTGGGATGTGCTCCCTCCTCTGCTGCAGTCCCCCTGCAGCTCCTCAAATGCAGCCTCCCATATTTCCCAAAATTTTTATTTTTAGAGCAACCAGGCACAAAGGCACAGCCAGGTCAGCACTGCTGCAGCCCTGGGGGCTGGGAGCTGTTCACAAAATAGCTTGCAGCCCTAAACTGCCAGGATGTGGGGCTGGGCAATGCCATGTTCCCTTCTGCTGCTCCCAGGGCTGTGGCTCTGGGCTGGGCTGTGCATGCAGAGCGATCCAAGGCAGCACCACAGAAAAGGTGAGGCAGATTCCCAGCTTGGTGCAACGTGTCTAACGGAGAGTTTGCACCCCAACAGCCTCTGGCCAAGCCATGGGAGTAGAGGAGGTGCCAAGAGCGCTTCTGCCCTTAAGGCTGAGTCTGGGAGTTGCTGGGTATCCCTCAGGGGTGCCAGTGTGCACCCACACATGGCTATGTGGGGTCAGTGCTACTCTGGGGCTCTGCTGCTTGTGCTCTGGAGTTGAGCTGTGCTTCCAGCACCATCCCCACCTTGGGAAAGGCACTGTTGGTGAGTGTAAAAGTACAAAAGTCAGTGACTGGGTGGGGGGAGCTTTCACATAAGGCCCCCTCACCTCCCACAAGCAGAAGGCCAAGGTGAGGGACCCTGTGCAGCAGCAGGACAGGCACTGTGCAGGCACTCTGAGCTGGGGAGAGGTAATTGGAGTGGGAGAGGTGCCCAAAGCGTGGCACCACAGACCTTGGTGCTGCTCAGGCTGGGTATCAGCCCCCAGTGTCCCACTGTGTCCTGAGTAAAACAAAAGAGGTGCAGACTTAGGCCCTGCTCAGGGTTCTGCTGCAGGGCTGGGGCAGAAGGCAGAGCCAGTCCTGCCCCTGCAGCCCTGGGCTCGTCCTGCCTGCCCCAGGCACGGTGGCTCAGAGGAAGAGGGGCTGCTCCTGCCCTGTCAGCAGACGGTACGTGGAGGCTGGCATGGTCTTGATGTGCACCTAGGCAGAGAGGCACAGATTAGAGACCCTGGCCTGGCCTGGAGGGTGCTGCTCACAGCTCCGAGCCCAGCAGCTCCGTGGGGTCCAGCTCACCTCGCTGACGGCCTCGGTGAGGATCTGGATGATCTTGTCGTGCGGCGTGGCCACCACGCTCTGCCCGTTGATCTCGATGATGCGGTGCCCCACGCGGATGCCGCCCCGCTCCGCGATGCCCCCGCGCATCAGGCTGCAGATCTGGGGGGTTAGAGGGCTGTGAGAGCAGGGCTGTGCCCTCAGCCCGGCCCTGCCACCACTGCTCCAAACCCTCACAGCCCCGGAGGCTCTCGGCCAGAGCTCTGCCTGGGTGCACAGCTCCTCCAGCCCTGGGCACGCAGGGAGGGCAGGGATGTTCCTGGGCATTGCTGCCACCAGCACGACGTGCTGAGCTGGGGCCAGGGCAGCCCCAGGATTTTGTCCCCCAGCTGATTCAGTCCCCCCACTGAGCCCTCCTGCTCCCCTCAGGCTGGGGCTGCAGAGACTGAGCTGCTCCCTGGGGCACCAGGAGAGCCCCACATCTCCAGTGCTAGGGGGAGCAGCTGGGGTGCGAGGGGGCTGTGCCACCCACCCAGCTCCCGCTGAGCCCAGGAATGTCCCTCTCTGCCTTCCCAACACAGTCACACGAGAGCCCAGGGCAGGGAGTAGCTCAGCACAGGGGACAGCAACAACTGTCACTGAGGTCATGCCCAGAAAGCCAGGAAGAAGCCACCACCCTGAAAGCAAACAGCTACAGAGCACCAAGAACAGGGATACAACCACCAGTGCTGCAGAAAGGCTGTCAGGAGCTTTTTGCTGAGCCCTGTGACCCCTCGGCCTGGGCAGGCACCTGCAGTGTGGGAGCTGGGCGCTGGTCCCTGCACACAGCTGGCTCTGCCTGTCCCTCAGCAGACCTGGCGCAGCTCCCATCCCACGGGCACTCACCACACCGTTCTCAACACAGAAGCCCAGCTGGTACTTGGAGTCAGGGCGTCGGATGACAGCCGTGGTGACAGGGGGACAGTGCACAATGTTCAGTGTCACCTCAGTCTGGTGCTTCAGCTCCTGGAAGGTGGGATGGGGCATGGTCAGATTTTGGAGAGCTATTCAGACTGGTTGAGGGGTAATGCAGTTCTCCTGGGGGAAAAGACAGACTCCCACATGGACTTCTGTTTGACAACTTCCCCTGGTTTCCCCTTTCCCTGTCCCCTCAATGGCTTGGTACCACTGGTGGCTGACCCCCTCCCTTGGAGACCAATCCCCTTTGCCCTGCCCTTAGCTCTGCCCCCCACCCCTTCCCCTTTTCAAGCTGCCTGCACCACTGGTTGCTCTCTTTCTTGCTGGGTTCCCTTCAGCCACATGTGATATACTTTGCTGAACTAAAACCTTGCAAAAAGGAGCCTTTCTAGCCTCTCTCACTGAGCCAGCTGTGGTGACTGTCATGTGTGGATTTAACTGCATTGCCTAAATGTTAATCCAACCTACTTTTCTACAGAAGAGGTTTGTTGGGAACAGATAATAGGCAGCAGCACCCAACATCCAACACCCACATTGCTCATGTGAGGGCTGAGGATTAGCAACTTGTTTTCAATGGGGAAACTGAGGCACACAACGGGATACTGCAAATGCAAATGCAGGGACAAGAACTTACAAACCCAGCCCAAGACATCCCTGCCCCTGGGGCTATGCTGTCCTTGCTTCCAGCTCCTTCCCATCCTACTGAGAGGTAGATGATGCAACAAGTTCCCTTCAGGACAGGTGCCCTTCTCCACCTCCACCCTCCTTTTCAGGCAGGGCCACAGCAAGTGCACTCCCCAGCTTTGTCCCTTTGTCCCCTGCCTTCCTCCAAGCCCTCTGAGCAGGAACTGCCACAGCCTGCAGGACAGGTATGACCTGGGCACACCTGTCTCCAAAGCTGGGGGCCCCAAAGGAATCCTGGTGTCACAGACACCCCCAGGTCATTCAGGGCAGTCCCCATCTCCCCCATGGCGTGAGGCAGGAGGTCACCCTGCCCTGGCTCACCCGGATGATGCTCTGGCAGGTGCCCAGGGGCAGCCCCACCAGGCTGGTGCCGTTGACGGACATGAGGCGGTCCCCGATGCTCAGCTCGCCTGAGCGCTCCGCGGGGCCCCCGTGCATCAGGTTGGCGATGACCACGGTGGGCAGGATGGAGCCCCAGCCCGACTCCACTACGGCAATGCCCAAGATCTCCCCCTTCTGCTTCCGGATGCACACCTGGGGGAGAACAGGTGGGTTACAGTCACAACCTCCACCAGAGCCATGGAGCACTGTCCCAGCCCACAGCTGCACTCACAGCTGGCTGGGACGGGCTCTGCTTTTGGAGGGAGGACCTCAGCTGCACAGGGAGCCAGAGAGTGGATGACACAGAGGTGCCAGTGGGTTCCCCACACTGTCCCCACCCACCCAGCTGCTCTCGTAAGAGAGCAGCTCTTACGTCCTTGCAGTTCTCCTGCCGGGAGAAGTGGGTCAGCTCAGTGTTGTGCTGCTCCTGGTCCTGCAGGGCACGGCTGTACTGCCGCGGGCTCAGCTCGCTGGGGTCGATGCTGTTGGCCTCCAGGAAGCGCTGGTAGGCCACGCCGAATGCCTGCCCGATGGCCTGGGCGATCACCTGGGCCTGCAGAAACACAGCGGCTGTTCCTGCCTGTGCCTCTGGGCTGGAGCCAACAGCTCCCAGTGCCCTGCAGTGCCCAGCACAGGAAACGTGCTTGGGAGCTCCAGGATGTCCTGGCTCCCTCCCTGCTGGAATGGGCCCCTGTGTGGAGCCAACCCTCCCCTGCACTTGATGGGGCTCTATGGGGGACAGAGATGCTCAGGCTGGGCTTCTGCCTCTCCCTAGTGGGGAGGGAGGGGTCTCTGCTGCAACCCCAGCCCAGAACACCCAGTTATTACACTGGGATGGGACTCAGGTCCCCAGGGCTGCCCACCCACACCAGGGACCCGTGTGCTGCCTCACTCACATCAGGTGAGTGGAAGACGTGGCAGATCATCTTGTAGAGCCGCTTCTCCTCCGCTGCCTCCGAGCGCCGCGGCAGCTTCCGGCGCGCCATGAGCACCACGAGGGAGCCGATGTCGGCAATGTAGGAGATGGTCTGCAGGGAGTGGTCCATCATGGCCTCCTGGCAAGGGGAACAGGCGGAGTTCAGCCCCCTCGGGGCTGTCAGACCATGTGGGCACCGTGAGCCTGCTGGCACTGCAAGCAGGAAGGGTTTGGCCACGGTGCCGGGATGTGGCACAGCTGCCCAGCACATGCTGGGCAGAAACCGTGTCTGTGCCAAAAGGTACAAACAGATTCTTCATCAAGGACTCATTTGTGTCCCTGGGTGTCGCCAGGGGACAGGGCAGCTCTTCCTTCTTGCTATAATGCAGAAACTAATCCTGAGGCAAAGAGCTCTCCAGATTTCCAGCCTGGGTTCCCCAGATCTCAGTTTGGGTTCCCAGCAGCTCCACAGGGTGCAGGTGGCATGAGAGGCCTTGTGCAGCCACACAGAGAGAGGGAAGGACATGACACAGGATGGCTACGAAGTGACATGTCCCCTTCCAGACATGTGTCCTCATCCATAGGCCATCACTAGGCAAGACCCTGCTGGCGTGGGAGTAAAGCTGAGAGCCTGAGGCCAAACAGGAATGTTGAAGCAGCCACAGAGACACGAGGTTACTGCTGTTCCTGCTCACCTGAGTGTCAGCAGTGAGCACCTTGATCCTCTGTGTGGAGACAAACAGATCCACCTCCGTCATGGGCTGGGACTCCCCCTCGGGTGCCTGCAGAATGATGGAGAGGTCACAGGACCCTGCTGGGACCCAGCCCCACAGCCAGGTGCCCTCAGGCAGACCCTGGGCGCTGCCCCACACCCTCATGGGGTAAGGCTCAGGGCAGCCATGTCCCCCATCCTTCCTGCACCTTGATCCTGTCCACGGCCTCCTGTGCCTGCGCCATGCGGACGCTGGTCGGGGGGTTCCTCTCCGAGGCCAGCTGCGTGGAGCCCAGGTACTTGGCCCCAAAAATCACACCATCCAGCAAGTCCTCTGGGTCACAAGGGCCTGGAACTGAGGTATTGGGAGGGACTGAGCAGAGGCTGCTCCCCCACCTCTGAAACTGGGGGTACCAACTCCTGCTGCCTTGTTAGCTGCATTCCTACACACAATGAAGCAGCTCAGTGCTTGGTACATGGACACCTGGCAGCACTGGGGGTCCAGGGCTGCTACCCCCTTCCCTTGGCAACACATGGCACCCTTTTCCCCAAGTATACCCCCCCCGATCCCTGATACACCTCCATTTCCTCAGCAAACCCTCAAACGAGCCACGTGGAGCCTGGTGCACCCGCTCTGGGTGGGTGCAGAGCTGCTGTTCCCTCCCTAACCGGGACCCCGGACCATGCCCATTCAGGGTCAGAGCAGGTGGGGCAGGATTCCTCATGTGCTTGCTGCTCAAGAACAGAAGCAACTCACCCTCTTTGAAGGCTGGGCAGGATGATGGGGATTCCCTGTTCTGCAAAGCAACAAGAGAGCAAGTGAGGCTGTGGCTGGGGCCTCAGGGATTCAGCCTGACTAGCCCTGGAGCAGTGGGACAGCAAAGGCAGAGTGTCCCTGAGGATGGGAGAAATGGCATAGGGTCCCAGGTTTGGACAGAGAAGAACAGGGTCCTGGGGCTGGAGGGGAAGATGGCACAGGACCCTAGGACCAGAGGGGCTGTTCGGATGCACCAGCCTCTAGGCCAGGACACACTGAACCAGCCAGCCACGCAAGCATGCATTCAGGGCAAAGCTGGTACTGAGGGTCTTGTATGGGCAATCTCGCAGTGCAAGGCCCTGTAAGACCTGAGCAAAGTCGGCCCTGGCTCTCCTTTGCCCCCATCCCAGACTCCAGGAGGGACCAGAGCCAAGGGGGACGTCCTGGCTCCTGCTGCCCCACGGCAGCCCAAGGCACGGTGCACTCACGGTCATAGTGCTCTGAGGTGGCTGCTCTGTCCCGGCCACCAGAGCGGAAGGCAGCGCTGCCCACGCCGGCTCCGGGGAACCTTCCCGAGCAGCCTCGCAGGCAGAATCGTCCTCGCAAAGCCCCTCTCCGTAACACCAGCTGCCAGAAGGTTCTTCCTCTGAGCTCTCTGGCCTCCCCAGCCCTTCAGGCTTCTCCACAGCGGCTGGGTCCTCCCGAGCCTGCAGCATCTCCAGGTTGGTCCCAGCCAGGACATCGGAGTGGGCCAAGGGGGTCTCGGCACAAGCCTCGGGCAGTCCCCCCTCGTAGCACAGGAGGCTCAGCAAGTCCTCCCGGTCAGCCTCGGCGAAGAGCAGCCCGTGGCAGGGCCGGTGGCAGC